GTGCATGAATTCGTGATCATACACATTGTTTGGTTTTACTTTTAGCATGGGTTTCTAGATTGCAAGCGATTAGGGAATTCTTGACTTCTTTAGTCTACTACTTTGGTGATTTGTCCAAGTTTATCCACAAGGCGTAGTATAACAAGGAATATCGAGATGGTTAAGTGGAAGACCGAAATCTTAATACTATTGACTAGTTGGGTCAACTCTTGTTCTGTTTAGTAGTTAATGGTGCAAAGAAAACAATGGAAATAGTTTGATAGGTCCCGAAAGTTTTTGTTTTCACAAACCACCTCTTGCATGCAATGGATTTAATCAATAATTGTAGCTTGATTTCGATGAAGACGAGTAATTGTGATATTCTTTTTAGTTATTTTGGTTTGATATTTTTTTAGTTGTTTTTGGTGAGTTTTTATTTTTATTTTTAGGTTGTTTAATTTTTGTTTTCCATGTTGATGCTCTTGATGTTTTAGATCTTTGCATAATTTTTTGCCCTTCAGATGCTTTTAAAAATTTCAAAAAGTGGGTTCTAATGTTAATTTATCATGAGAAGAAGTCGTGATATTTTTTGAAGAATACAGTTGAAGACCATGTTTTTGGATAAGTGTGGGGTTCCCAGTTAATGAATAAAATAAGTTTGAAAGAAATTTATAGAACGAAATGACCGAGAATGGTCCTTACCATTATGAAGGGTTGATGCTTTACTTTGGATCTTATAAGGTTCTCTGAGAAGACACCACGAAGTGGCCATCATCACCACGTTGTGGTAATTGATTTTATTGCAAAAGCATCTGACCATAACCACGATGTGGCACCACTTGAACACATCATAGAAATTTTAAATTTCGCCACCATTACGACTTCAAGCTCTACACACGTCGTTGCGTTGCTTTTCTCACGATGTGTTTGAGGTTCAACACATTTTTCAATGAATGGTTCTTTCATTTATTTCGACTCGACACATTTACATTCACAAGAAAAGATTCCAAAAGTACCGTTTCCAATTTTGTTTCAAGATGTACACCACACGAAACAAATGATCAACCAAGGCATGGATTAACTGTTCCCACACCATACTCAGCTGAAGAGAGAAAATAGAAGAAAATCAACATCGTCACTTTTATCCGAGTGAGTCTATTCTTTTTTCTCCCTTTTTAATTGTTGATATTTTTATTTTGTATAACATACAATGGGGGCATTGGATGAATTAAGTGTGGGGTAGGGGGTTGGTTACATTAGAATTTAAAATATTGCATTTTTTTGCATTATCATGGAAAATTACTTGTTAATTCAGGAAATTAAGTTAAATTTAAAAGCAAGTTTCATTATTAGAGTTCAATACTAGTATTGTGTGGGATGATTCAATGCAAACCTAAATTTTTATTTGAGGCAACATATGTTATAGTGCATTTGTGGCTTCCATATCCTAGTGAAATCATGGAACAAAAACACGTCATTGGTTAGTTTGAGGGCGTAATATGTTTAGCATCATGTACCAAAAATGTATCCAGGAGAGCTATGCAATCATTGCACATTAGACTAATATCTCTAACTAATAAATGTTGAGGTTAAATCCCCTTGCTTAAGCATATTTGTTTTAGGATTTTTTTAGTCTTGAGTGAAAAAAGTATGCTGTCAAAAAAAGTTGACAAGAAAAAAAAAAGTTGTAAGAGTTTGAGAGAATAAGAGTCTACAAAGTTATGAAGATCAAGAAATATCATAAAGAAAATCTCCAAATTATCAATGACTCAAGAATAAGGCAAAATTTTCCAAGTTATTTATTATAATTTTTATTTTCTAGGTTATTTTTCCATATGTATGCTTGAGGGTTTAACCAAAAATACCTTGAGGTTAGGAAAGTTTTCTAGGGATGGATTCGGAGGGGTGTATAAAATGAGTATTGTTCAAAAGAAATGGGCAAGTGTTTATAAAGATTGTGAGTATTTAGGATTAGGGAGGTTCTTAGAAAAATTTAGACACAAAAACATGCATTGCGTTCTTGGCATAATGGATGAGTTAAGTTTGGATTGTTTTGTGCGATATTGGTATGCTAAAATTCAATTTTGCTTGAAGGCAATCAAAAGTCAAGTGTGGGGTATTTTGATGTGTGCTTATTTAGTTATATATTCAAACATTATTATTATATTTTATGCTACATTATGTCTTAATTCTAGAACAAAAGGTACTGATTATGTTTGAAATATGTTTTGTAGCAGTGAATATATGCTCGAGACAAAAGGAAGCATACGAGGAGTTGGAAGTAGGAAAATGGGAGATAAAGCAAAAAGAAGACAAAGAGGATGTTGTTGGACAGCTTGACCCCTTGTCAGTGTTTTGGCCATATCTCATGACTCGTAACTCCGATTGATGAGAATCAAAATGTTCTGAAAAATTAAAAAGAATTTCGGACGACTTTTGTGTTTTGAGAAAATTTTGATTCCCAACAACCACGCCGTGGTTATCACAATGATGCCATGGTGAATGGAATCTTTGTCATTCTTGATGCTGACTTGAAGAATATGGGGTTTTTATGAAGAACACGTCGTAGTGGCCATTTAACACACCGTGTTGATGTTGAAACCTATAAATAGAGTCGAAAATTAGCCCTAATGATATACCAAGAACCCTAGATCGATTCCTACTATTATAAATCCCCAAGAAGACATTTTGAGTGTCTAGAAAGTGGTTGTAAGGCCGTTAAGCTGACATGAGAGAAGATCTGAAGGATTGGAGAGCAGATTCAGGCCATAAATCATTTGGTTTGTTGTTCTGACCAAGATTAACATTCCAATGTGATTTTTATGCATTTACTTTCTGATTTGGGTGTTAAAACCCTTGGCTTTGTATTTATGATTATATGAATCCTTGAATTTGTGGATTAATTGCTATTCGGATTATTTGTTTGTGTTTAATTTATTTTGTAAAGTTTGATTGCAAGATCCATATGTGTCACATATTGTTATTTTATTCCTTATTGCTGAATTAATAGAGTTTAGATGACTATTTGACTATGTCAATTTGAATCAAAGCTGTCCACTAGAGTTTTGACAAAAACCTTGGGTTAGGAATAAAGTGATGAACTTTAATTTGTATGCATGAGTAAATGACCAATATAAGCATGATTTAATTCCTATGACCATTAGGATTAATAAAGATCAAATATTGCTTAATACGAACTACTGATTTTTATGATTTTTTGTTCACTTGATCAATGGATTAATAGTTATGTTAAAATTAAAGGATTAGTTATCTAGAATAAGAGTTAGTAATTTTAGGTGTTAGTGAACAAGAAGAGGCAAATCTATGTGTTTAATTATCTATGATTTTAAGATGTAATTTGTCTAAACCAAATTACCTCTATATATATATATATATATATATATATATATATATATATATATTATATATATATATATATATATATATATATTTGTCTTCGGTTAGTTTAAGATGTAATATACCCTTATAACAAGTAATTTTTGTATATTATGCTAATGTCTTCAAAGTGTAGTTCTTAGGCAATCTGATCTTGCATCACCAGACCAAAACATATAGAAATGTACACCCATGTCTAAGCTTACACTATATTCCTACTTCCTTTTAGGATACCCTCTCATCTTTCCATCAATCATTATTGATTCTACCCTCCTTATTGATACTGATGGTAGTCTCCTTTTAACATGTTCATACCACCTTAATCGCCCTCATCTCAATTTGTTAATGGTTTGTGACACTTGTAACAAATTTCTTATAGCCTCATTTGTTATCTAGTCTAGCAAGGTTATACCATATGTCTACCTCAACATCCTCATTTATGCTATTTCCATCTCCATGTTCTCCTTCTTGTTTGATTAACATTTTAATCCATACAACATGACACACCTAATATTTACCTTTTAAAATCTCATAATTAATTTAAGCGGGGCCTTTCCTTTACACAAGACTCCTAAGACCGCCATTCATTTTAACAAACCCATCATTATGTGATGTGTGACATGTACCTCCACATCTCCTCTCTCATTGATCACAAGACCCAAATACTTGAAGCTTTCTCGAATAAGAAAAGAGTTTGCTCACCCATAGTAATCGCTAATCCTTCAACAGCTATTTCCGCTCTAAAATTACACCAACATACTCGGTTTTAATGAAAATGCACCATTCAAAAATTAACAATATGTGTTGACTAGTTGACTTTACATAAAATGCAATATTTTTAAAAAATATTACAAGAATATATTTATTTTGTACTATATGGGTTCCTTTTTATTATTTTATTAATATAAGTTATCCTAATACATTGTCTATACTACATTCTTTATTTTGTCTTCGTCCCTATATTTGTTAGGTTGATCAAGTTAGATTAAAGAATTTGATTTCAAACTTTTTGACATAAACTTTTTATATGCTTTAACGTTCACTAAAATGAATAATGATTACTCCTTGTGATTTAAATATACTTTGATTTAAAGAAATGGTTTCACGTAATGTTTAGATAACGACATCATGGCGGTTGGCAAGGTATTAATCCTCACACGGTCACACGGTTACCTCAACCACCTCCCCAAATAATGCATCCAAAACAAAACTCCCTTTATCATTTTATCCCCTCTTTACATTACGCGTCGCCTTCAAAAGTCAAGAAAACAAAAAACCTCCGAATCACCACTGTTCAACACGACTGACGTATCCGAATTCCGACCACCGTTGGTTGGTTGATTGGTTCTTTAACCTCACCAAATCCCCCGCCTTTTTGCTTTTGTTTCTATATCATCTTCTCCACAATTTCACCTCCAACCCTAAATTACATACCCTTTCTTTCCTTCTTTCTTTATTTTAACCTCATATTTATACTCTCTCTTTCTTTTCTTCACTTTCATGATCCGTTGTTTAAGCCTCTGAAAACCAAACCTCTTTTGACTTTGTTTCTCGATCATGACCCATTAATCAATCCATAACCCTAATTTCTTCGTTTCCTTTTTTATCTACAATCAAATCTGTAGATGGGACACTTGACAAAGATTTTCCATCGGAAACCCATTTATTTCCGCGGCTCTTTTCACGCTCTTTGTATCCTTGTGTTCATCGTTCTCTGTTTCAACAATTGGAGCTACGAGAAAGTCGATCGGGTATCGTTGGGTTCAAATTACACTGGGTTGAAGATCACAGACCCAACTGATTGTTCTGGATTAAATCAACACAAAGGTTTCGAAAACGAATGTGAGTATTTAAAAGCCAACCCACAATGTAAAGCCGGCGGCTTTTTTTATTACTTGGATTTTTTCTACTGCGATTGTCAGAAGTTTGCTCCTTTGGCTTATATCGCTCTTGTAATCTGGTTAGCGACTCTGTTTTATCTATTGGGAAACACATCCGCTGATTACTTTTGTTGTTGTCTTGAAAAGTTATCGAACGTGTTAAGATTACCACCAACTGTAGCAGGGGTGACCTTGCTTCCGTTAGGAAACGGCGCTCCTGATGTATTCGCTAGCATCGCTGCTTTTGTAGGCACCGATAACGCCGATGTCGGACTTAATAGTATCTCCGGTGGTGCTGTTTTCATAACTTGTGTCGTCGTCGGGACGATTTCGCTATGTGTGGCTGATCTGGGTGTCACCATCGATAAGAAGTGCTTCAAGAGAGATGTGTATACGTTTATGCTCGCTGTTTTGGCTCTTGCTGTTATCTTGTTTGTCGGAGAAGTTAACGTCGGCGGAGCTATTGCGTTTGTGTCCATCTATGTCGTTTATGCCACCTATGTTGCTGCAAATGAGTTCTTGAGAAAGAAAGAGGCGTATGCACCATTGTTACCTCTTGCGAACACTTCGGAAGATAGATTACTGGTTTCGGAAACGGATGAGGTCCCACATCTTGTTAAATCTTCTAAGGTTCCTCATTGGATGTGGGGAGCACATGTCGCGATGTATTCGGAGGTTTTTAACCATGGTTTAGAAGATAACCCGAAGACTCCATGGGGATGGACAGATGAGGAGACACACAGTGAGGATTCTGGTTCTTGGTTTTCGTGTTCAAAGTTGCTGACGTGTCTAGAGTTTCCATTGATGTTACCAAGAAGGTTGACCATTCCAATCATAGACGAAGAAAGATGGTCGAAGTTCTATGCTGTTGCTAGCGTCACTTTTGCACCTTTGCTTCTAGCGTTTCTATGGAATAGGGTCTACAATGGTGGTCAATTAGGTGAAGATTTGATCTATATCGGTAGTGCAGTCGTTGGATGTTTTCTTGGGTTTGGTGCTTTTGTGTCGACTAAAATAGACCACCCACCACAAAAGATGTTGCTTCCATGGGTGTTAGGAGGGTTCTTTATGAGCATCATTTGGTTCTACATGGTTGCTAATGAACTCGTTGCTCTTTTGGTTTCACTCGGTCTTATCTTCCGAGTCAACTCGGCGATTCTTGCATTGACCGTGTTAGCATGGGGTAACTCGATGGGTGATTTGATGTCAAATGTTGCCCTTGCCATGAATGGGGCAGATGGAGTTCAAATTGCAATATCAGGATGCTATGCGGGTCCGATGTTTAACACACTTATTGGTTTAGGGGTTTCGATGTTGATTGGATCATGGTCTAAGAGACCGGATTCTTATGTCATAGCTCGTGATAGTGGCTTGTTGTGTAATTTGGGGTTCATTATAATAGGGCTAGTTTGGTCATTGGTGGTGTTGCCAAGAAACCAAATGCAGCCTAGTAAGTTGTTAGGAATGGGGCTTATCGGTATTTATTTGGTGTTTCTGTGTTTGAGAATAGGAACAGCGGTCGTGGTTGGCTCGCTAAACTGATCAAACTGATTAGTGTTGTATTGTGTTAGTCGTTGTATGTTCTCTTTGTACCAGAGTGGTATCAAGGTGAAATTTTATCTGGTATCGGATACCCGTTATCAGGTACATGTATAGGTATTAGATGCCGGTCAACATCGGACATTAGGTATAAGATAGCATGTATACATAACTTTTTTTTTTTTGTTCTAGCCATAATGTTATGGTTAACGCGAATGCACATGGGTGACATATAGTCATATACCCTAGTTGTTGTACATCTTGGTTTGAATGCTTAGAAAACAATTTACACGGTAATAATAACATATATATATGTTTGGTAATTATGTAGTTGGTAATAATAATTACGAGCTTTTTTGTTTTTTTGTTTGGTTGTACGTATTATTTTCTTAGGTTTCTTATTTATCAAATGAGGTAGACGGTAAGTTGATGACTACGACCCCATGATTGCCGATAACACATGTAAAATAAAAGAGTAAATTACACGAATGGTCCCTATGGTTTAGCATAGTTTGCGCGCTTGGTCCCTAACTTATTTTTTTAACTCGAAAGGTCCCTACTGTTTGTTTTTATTATGCGTTTGGTCCCTGTCTTACCTACAAATACTATTTTTCCTATTATTTTTTAATTTATTTAAATAAACACACCATCAATCCTGCTCTCTCACCTTATCTTACCTACCTCACAATTTTTCCCTATTTTAATAATAGTATTTTTAGGTAAGACAGGGACCAAACACGTAACAAAAACAAATAGTAGAGATCAAGTGCGTAGCAAAAACAAACAGTAGGAACCTTCCGAGTTAAAAAAAATAAGTTAGGGACCAAACGTGCAAATTACCCCAAACCATAGGGACCTTTCGTGTAATTTACTCAAAATAAAACAAAAAATGAAAGAGGATGAAATGAAAGTGAGGGAAAATTGTAAGGGATTGAATGGAAATATGTGAAACTAAGCATTGATGAACACGTGTATAATCCGATTTTATTTCCTTCCTATTATTGTGTATTAAATAAATAATTAAATAGTCGTGAACCAAACCTACCCAACCATCTTTTCACATTAAATTATTAAAAAGTTGGTAACAAAATAAGACTATACGACCCAACCATCTTTTCACATTAAATTATTAAAAAGTTGCTAACAAAATAAGGCTATACGGTATCATAAATGAATCACAGGCGGTATAGTTACATGGTAATGGTATATTTACCGGCGGTATCTTTCCACCGACGGTAAATTTTGAAAAAAAAAAATAACTTTTGTGAATGTTGGAAGAATTGGATATTGGCAACACCTCTTAACCCTATTTAATCTAATTTTAGTAAGTTTTATATACTTTAATGGAAAGGGATCAGCGATTAGGATAAACTATTATTAAACTGCTGAAACAAGAAATATGGATCATGACAACTTTTTGCTTCATTTTTTGTACAGTACTTATAATATTATATTCTTTTACGTTATTGTAATAATGATGGTTGGAAGGAAAATCAGTTTACTTTAATTGGAA